CCCTCTTTAATGAACAAGACTTCAGATCCGACTTTATATTTTATTTTTATTTTGGGAGGCATCTTTTGGATTAGGAGGCAGCAGCTACTTGGGTAACCACGAAAATATAATTAGATTTTCCCACCTGTTTCCTAGAGCTTTTCCATAGCTTCCCATGATCTCGGAGGCTGCTGGTTCAGGTGTGTTTGACTGCAATTAGCAGATTCTTGTCAATGCCACACCAAAGGCAAACAATAGCTAAATTCTGCTGCTGTCCTCAAGAAAATTTTTTTTCTGGAGAAGGCTAACGTCATATCAGAACGAAGGTAAAGGGTATATATTTTGATGAATAGTGAGGTTATGTTATAGACAAGTATTTGGGTAAACTTAGATGTGGGCTTGGTGAAGAAACTAGAAATATAAGTGTTAAGAAAATGGGTAAGGGATAAGCACTCACAAGCTATTACAGTATTTCTAACCAGCTAACCAGCAGTCTGGACACAACTCTGAAGAACAGTGAACCACCCAGTGGGGGCATCTCTCACAGTCAACAGAAGTCACAAAGCATTCTGGAGCTACTCACCACATGGCTCCTCAGCACTCTAATAGTGTCAGGATAATTTGCTGATTCTTTATAAATGCAACCACCTAATTACTTGAGTTATTGCTCCTGATCATAGGATTGTAGATTGATTGCTGGAAGGGACTAAGAGCTTGAGCCCCACCCCATTTCACAGATGAGGAACTGAGGCAGATAGATGGGACTTGTCCAAGTCACACAACTAATACTACTACTAATAGCTAGTATTTACACAGGGTACTTTAAGGCTCACAAAGCACTTTGCAAATATTATCTCATTTTATCCTCCCAACAATCCTGGGAGACAGGTTCTGTTATTATCCCCATTTTACAGACGAAGCACCTGAGGCAGACAGAGGTTCAATGACTTGCCCTGTTTGACTCGGGTCTTCCTGACTCCAGGTCCAGTGCTGGATCCGCAGTGCCACCTAGCTGCCTACTCAGCTTGTAAATGTTGGAGAGGCAGGATCTGAACCCAGCTCTTCCTGACTTCAAGTCCAGTGCCCCATCTATTGCCACTGATTCTTATGATTCCAGGAATGCCTTCGGTGTCACCTTGGGTGAGGGTGGGGGGGAGGGGAGAGGGATTGGTCTCTTGTTCCCTAGCTCCACCCTAAATTAAGATATAACCTACGCAGGTAGAAACAACCTATCACCAAGAGAAGAAGGTAAGTCAAACTCAGTAGCCTCAGCTTAGGAGGCTGAATCATTAACTCCGTGCCCCATAAAATTATCTGGGTGTGGTAGCTCCAGCTACAGCCTGAGAAGTTTACATAACACTTTTCTCAAAGCATAGTCATGAGTCTTGAGGTGAACTGAACCAAATAAAAGAAGAGAAATTTTTACTGTAAATAGATCTAAGTAAAGATAATTAAAAACTGATTTGCCTGGATAGAAACCAGCAGGAAACAACATCCAACAAATTCATGAATTGTAGTTTTATTTAAATTTTTATTGTCAAGGTTGAAAAGCTACATAAAACAAAATCTTATTAAGTATCAGTATAAATTAAATGTGCTTTGTAACTATTTACGTTTACATGAATATCAAGGCATAAAATGCCATAAAACTTTCAGTTCCTCCTAGCTCTAAACACATCCCATGCACAGGTCACAGAGGTCATCTAGTCTTGGCTCCTCATTTTACAGATGGTGAAACTGAGGGAACCAGGGGAGCTTAAGTGACTTGTCCAGAGGCTCACTGGGATAAGCTCAGAGGTCTGATCAGAACCTTGGTCTTCTGACTCCAAAACTAATGCTCCCACTCTCCATCAGGTTTTCTTGTTCATTATCTTTTTTTAATGGTTGTAGCTAGCATGGATAGTACTCTGTGGCTGCTGTTTTTTGTTTGTTTGTTTCTTCCTCTTGGCTTGATTTCAAAAAGGTCCTTTCAGGTTTCCTTGCATTCCTTACACTGGTTGGCATAAATTACACTAGAGAATTCCATTACATTAGGGTACCATGATTTATTAAACCATTCCCCTGTTATTGGACGTTTAGGCTGATTCCAGTTTTCTGCAATCATAAATACACTACCACCATAAAAACCTTTAAGCAAACAGCTCTCTTTGTCTTCTGGATAACACCGGGTTTATTTTTTTATACTTGATGTAAAATGGAAGGCCCAGTATGGAAGCCATTTGCACAGTTAGGCTTGCTCACCCTGTAACCTTCAAGCTGACAAATCAATGCTAGTTCTGAATCCTTTTAATACAGCATGCCTCAGTCCTACTTGATGCAGCTGGTGCTTGGTCAGAGGGGTGATGTGAGCCCACAAATATCCAATCTGCAAGAAAACCCAGTGAGGCAGAGCTCCGAGCCAATAACCATTTATTAAAGGGACCTAGCTCCCTTTAATGAACAAGACCTCAGATCTTCCTCATGATCTGAGATGTCCCCTCTCTCCAGGGCCTTGGTTTTATAGTGTTTGATAAGAGAGTACAGAGATGACTCAAAGTAAAATACAGGATTTCATTGGTTGACAGACCTATACCTTGACCCTACAGGAGGGCCAAAGAGGGCCAGTAGACAGGTTAACTCGTTGGCCAAGTGCACACAGCCGTTTCCCCACGTTGGGCAATAGAGAGGGACACTGAAGGACGGACGGACAAAAAGAAGCTGGAGGACTTTCCATATCATTAGGTCATCACTATGCTGACCTTGGTCACTTCCGCAGCAGGAAATAAGGGTGGAGGTCCTCTAGTTAGCTTCCTGTGGTTGAGCAAGTTAACTTTATAACAAGCAAGGGAACTTATAACTTGCAGTTTAAAGTTTGGGGGCCTAATATAAAAAACAATCTACCTAACCTCATCTAATTATTCCTAAATATAAGATATATAAAATATGCACTAATACTGATGAATAGACTGACTAAATGTATATTAGCAGGCAAATACAACAAAAATAATGACTATCCCTATGGAATCACCCTAAACTGAGTAACAGTGATTGGAATAAAATAAGTGGTTAAATTAATCACTTGACACAATCACCCTTACTCCCACGAGTCGGCAGACAACAGTGAGAGATCTTTTCAAGCCATCATAAAGCGATTTAAGAAGAACTGATATTTATATGGTAGTTTATGGATATTACCTCATTTGACCTTCACAATGGCTCTGTGAGGGCACTCCAAAAGGCATTATTATCCCTATTTCACAAAGGAGGTCACGGAGGCTGAGGGGCTAAATAAATCAATAGCTAACACTTATATAGTGCTGTAAGCTCTGCAAAGCACCTGACATATTCTTTCATTTGATGGGGTGGGTGACTTACTCAGGATCACACGACCAAGAAGTGTCAGAGGTAGGTTTGAACCCAGGTCTCTCCTGAATCCAAGTCTGTCCACCACAGGAGACTAATTTCTTACATAGTATATATAATGTAACACAGCATTTGTGAAGCACAGTGTGGTGGATGTTAACCCTGCCCTCTGCCTTGACCTTGCTCTTCACACTAGTGTGAGCCCACACCCACCTGCAGACTAATCCCACCTTTAGTCCTAGCCTTGTTTCATAATCGCTTTATGAAGAGCTACTTGAAGAAAGGCCTCGTTGAGGGGACAAACTCAACTAGGCCTGTTCTGACTGCTGGGGTCCCTGCTTTGCTGATTCAACAAGTGAGGTTAACTCTGGGGCCCTTGGTTCCTGACTAGACTCGAGACCTAGGGTCGTCTCCCAGTCTCTCGTTCCAGTCACCATGTCCTTAGCGGACGTTTCAAACTGTATGTCTCACAGGTATCTCACACTCATTCTGTCCAGAGCAAAGCTCCTGATCTTTTCTCAGTTTCTACTGAGAACACCTTTACCACCCTTCATCCTTCTAGAGATCTGGGCTCACAACGTCAGTTATCTCTTACTCCTCTGTCTCCCTTAGCCCACATATCCAATCAGCTGCCACCACCTCTAACTGATTCTACCGCCTTGACGTTTCTCCACTGTGTCTCCTTTTCTCCACTCTCTGAGCCACCGCCTGAGTTTAGGCCCTCATCACCTCCTGAGGGGTGGTGGAATGGCCCTGGAGTGAGGAAGACCTGGGTTCAAATCCTTCTTCAGACACATACCAGCGGTGTAACCCTGAGCAAGTCGCATGACCTCTTTCAGCCTCAATTTCCTCCTCCGTGAAATGGGGAAAATAATAGCACCTCCCATGAGATTACATATGCACAGCACTTTGCAAACCTTAAAGAGAAATATACATACTAGCTATTAGTATTATTACAATAGCCTCCTAATTGCTCTCCCAGTCTTAGAACATTGTCCTCTCTAATCCATCTTGCACTGGGGCTGCCAAACTGATATTCCTAAAGCCCAGGTGTGGCCACGTCACAACACACTCCTGAGTCTCCTTAACCTCTAGGTCTGGGGCTCTTCACCTTTGTTGTGTCATGAAGCCCTTTGGCAGACTGGTGAAGCCTAGGGAACCCTTCTCAGAATCATGTATCTAAAGGCACAAAACAAAATACCCAGGATGACCAAGGAAACCAATTATACTGAAATACATAAGATTCAAAATACAAGTTCATAGGCCCGAGGTGTTCAGAACCCTTGTTGTAAGTTAAAGTATAAATTCCTCTGTTTGGCTTTATAACAACCTGGATTCCACCAACTTTTTACCCCATCACACACCATTCCCTTCCACACACGCTAAGGTCAAGCCATGTTGGCTTTCCTGCTGTTCCTCAGAGAGGACACTCCTCCATCCCGTGTCTCCATGTCCTAACTGGTCAGTGCTCTCTTGATAAAGAACTAAAGAGCTAGAGTTCAACAAGTGCCTTTTTGTTCAGTCCTTTCTTCTTGATCCCTTCCTGGTAGCCAGATATCAGGCCTTACTAACAAGTTATTCTATTTCCTACCCTTTCTCTCTCTACTAGAAGGGGAAATTCAGGATAGTCTGAAAACAGCAATTCTCACCTCAGTGTAAACATCAAACCCATTACTAACCATTGTTCTTTTCAGTTGTGGTGCCCTGTGTCCTGTCCTTGGGCTGATGACTACATCCACGGCTCCTCTGAGGGCGAGAGAACCCACAGAGAGGAATCATCTTTCGCCTTCATTGAACATAAAAGACGTAATCATTTGCAGAGGGTTCTTTTTATTCCACAGGTTACTTCAGGCTACGCAACAGGTGTTAAGAAGCAAACCACAGGAAGTCAAACTCACCTCAGTCAGACTTTTCGTCTTTTTTGGCTTTTAATCGTGCAAACATCTTGTCAATCTCTGTGACTGGTCTCTGCCTGAGGTATGGGGTTTCCTCAGTTTGACTGATGACTTTTTCAGTACTTTGGTGGATGATCTGATGAGCTGCAAGAATGTGCTTCCTTTGTAAATTCCTCACTGGAGCAAAAGGAAAGAAATTACTCTAAAAATGTATTTTGCAATAACACTTCAAATGGTATTCAGAAAAGATAGCTGTGAAAATGTTTTTGTTTTAAAAATGTGTACATCCGTCAAATTAGTAAGCATTTGTTATGCACTCACTAGGTGCATAATACCTGGCCCTATGCCAGGTGCTGTGGACACAAAGACAAAAGTCTTAAGAAGCTTACATTCTGTCCTAGGAGACATGGACACATGTTAGTATTCAAAAAACAAATACTAGATAGGTTTGGACATATGCTCTTCCTGCTGTGTCTTCTACATTGCTCTTTCGGCTGTGACTATAGTTGAGTACAATATCATGTGGGGTAAGATATTCCTGGCAAAATCTGACATGGTAGAGGCAGCTAGGTGGCACAGTGCATAGAGTACCGGCCCTAAGTCAGGAGGACCTGAGTTCAAATCTGGCCTCAGACACATAACACTCACTAGTTGTGTGACCCTGGGCAAGTCACTTACCCCCACTGCCTAGCAAAAACAAACAAAAAATTTGACATGGTTTCAAAATTGCATGTGGTGACTTGGGGATGGAAAGTAAGTCTTACCACTCTAAAGGAGAAAGAAGAAACTAAATGTCTCAGTGGACAGAATACCAGACCTGACATCAGGAAGACCTGAGTTTAAATCTAGCCTCAGACACTTACTAGCTATGTGCCCCTGGTCAAGTCACTGAACTTCTGTTTTTCCTCATCTATAAAATGAGGGTCATAATAAAACCTACCTCCCAGGGTTGTTGTGAGGATAAAATGAGAAAATAATTGTAAAGTGCTTAGCATAGTGCCTGGCACATAGTAAGTGCTATGTGCAGATCTTAGCTATTATTATTGTTGTTGTTATTATTATTAGATTTGCTGTTGCTGAATCTGAGTGTTGCTGGCAGCCAAGAGCAGTTATTCTCAGACCTGATCCTAGAGATACAGTCTGCCCTGATGTCCATCCCTGTCATTTTAACAAAACAGAATAGAATTTTTAGAATAAAAGTAGAAATGAGGCATTTCCACCACCTTACCTTTCTCCTTCACAAATGTTTTCTGCACTTCTGGAATCAGGAAACTGTAAACCAGCTCTGCAACAATCTCTTCTGACTGAAGATGAGTTCGACTAAGTGAGAAACAAAGTCAAGTGGATCAAAATGTTGGCTGTTATTGTTTAATGTCCTTCTTACACTAAGACCCTCCTTCTGTGGGTGATAACCTGGGTTTGGATGGGTCTCCACTGAGAGAGTTCTATGAAATACACAATCCAGAGGGGACATGAGGTGACTGCAGGGTCCATGCAGTTTGGTTCTGTTTGAGTCAATGCCTCTAATGGGAAAAGGGCTGCGAGGGACAGGGCGTGGGTCACCAATGTCTAAAACTTTGGAATAGACCTCTCGTGCTATCTGAAACTCTGTCACTAGTCACATTTTCTTCATGCTTTGATATAGTAGAAAAGAAAGCAAAACATACAAGCGCCTAAGAACAAGGCTTCTGAAGACCTGCGGCTAGCTATGAAGACCTAGATCACTGAAAAATACTTCAGGCTGGCCATGAACAGACTTGTTTGTTCTGTGGTCTGTTCTCTGAGTACATACCGATTTTCTATTTCATAAGCGAGGTCATTGATTTCCTTAGCCATCTTCTGAATTTCTTCCCGGGCTTGGTCTTCTGCTGTGCTTTCCTCCGTATTTAGTATGATGTCTTCCAGATAGGAGGTAACGGTACTCTGGTGAATTTTAATCACCTGTACCAAACATAAAATATCCTGCATAGTTACACCAGGAAAGTGATGGCTGGCCAGTTCAAGACATATCCATCTCAGCATTAGGCCTAATGCATACTGTTGGCATTTAATAAATGTATGATAAATTAACAACTCACAATAAATGCTGATTACAAAGCTAAACCAAATATTGAGTAACTCTCCAAATAAAACTCTAAACTTTAAAAAGTTTGCATTATTTTAGAAAGTTTCTCTTTAATATCAAATTCATTTAAATTTTTAACAAAAACAACACGTTTGCTTTGACCTCTTCTGAATCTTCCTGTGTTCTTATACAGATCTATTCCCTTCCCTTTTTAATGTAATTTTGGTCAATGTACGTGTTATTCTTATTTCATATAGAGCCTCATTTTGTACAGAACTTTACTGCATTTCTTGATATTACATATTTGTTGTTTTTCAAAATCAAAATAATTACACAGATATACCATACTTTATTCAACCATTCCCTACCAATTAGACATATAAATAGTTTTTTGCTATTACAAATATAGAATCTAGAAATATTTTAGTATAAAAATCATTCTTGGGGGCAGCTAGGTGGTGCAGTAGATAGAGCACCGGTCCTGGAGTCAGGAGGACCTAAGTTCAAATCTGACCTCAGACACATAACACTCAACTAGTTGTGTGACTCTGGGCAAGTCACTTAACCCCAATTGCCTCGTCAAAAAAAAATAAAATAAAAGTAATTCTTTGTTTTTTAATGATATTTTATGATATAACCTCAGCAATAGGATCTCTAGATCAAGTGGCATGATCTGATTCTTCTCCTATTGTATGTTATTAGGGTTTTGTTGTCGTTGTTGTTGTTTGTCCAGAAACATTTCTAACATCTTCTCATCTCTCTTTACTGACCAATCATCCTGGTTCCCACCTACTTGTTATTTCTCAAGATCCCCTATTTGCCTATTCCTTTCTATTCAGCTCCCACTATCTACTACCTGCCTCTCCATCTAACCACCCAAATTTCCCACACACACCATGCAAGCTACCTGATACTTCCTTTATGACAGGCACTAATCAACTAACTGTATCCTTGCTTTTATGAGCTGTGAAGCATCAAATTAATGTCCTGAAAATAGAGGTCTAACTATGTCACATGCTCAAAAATCTTCAGTGGCTCCAAATGCTTCTAGGATAAAAGAGGGACTCATCAGAACAGTATTTGAAAGCCTTCCACAATCTGGTTCTCACCTACATTTCCAGTCCTACTTCCTATTACCTCCCTTTACACACCAGGCATCATTTTTTCAAACAGACTGTATTGCGAGCTGTTCCTTTTCCCATCTCCACGCCTTTCTTTGCACAAAGCTATTGCTGGGCCCAGAGTGCATTCCTAAATCACCTCCATTCCTTCCAGTCCCCATATTCCTTCAAGGCTCAGTTGTGGTGCCATCTCCTGTAGGAAGCCTTTTCTTTTCTTTTTCTTTCTTTTTTTTTTAGTGAGGTAATTGGGGTTAAGTGACAGGAAGCCTTTTCTTATCCAACTTTAGTGTTCTTTTCTCTCCTGAAATTATCTTGAATTTACTTCTCGTGGTATTGAAAATTTAGAGCTAGTCCTTATCTTTAGAGATCATCAAATCCAGCCCTCTCATTTTATGAAGGAGCAAGCTGAGGCCCAAAGAGGTTAAGCGACTTGCCTGAGGTCACCAAGGTACCAACTGGAAGAACTAAAATTTGAAATTAAAAAAAATTTTTTAACATTCATTTTAAAATTTTCAGTTCCAAATTCTCTCCTTCCCTCTGGCCCCTCCTCCACCCACTGAGAAAGAATGGCATATTTCCCATTATACATGTGAAATCATACAAAACATTTCTGTATTATCCATGTCATAAAAAAGCAAGCAAAATAAAGTGAAAAACAATATGCTTTGACCTGCACTCAGAGTTCATCGCTTCTCTCTCTGAAGGGGGTAGTATTTTTCATCATGATTCATTTGGAATTGTCCTGGATCATTGTTTCGATTAGAGCAGCTAAGTCTTTCACAGCTGATTATATTATCACTGCAATATTGTTACTGTGTACAATGTTCTCCTGGTTCTGCTCATTCACTCAGCATCAGTCCATACAAGTCTTTCCAGGTTTTTCTGAAGTCAGCCTGCTCATCATTTCTTATAGCACAACAGTATTCCATTACACTCATATACCACACCTTGTCCATCCATTCCCTGATTGAGAGGCATCCCCTCGATTTCTAATTCTTTGCCACCACACATGTACTGCTTTAAGTGTTTTTGTACACATAAATCCTTTCCCTTTTTCTTTGATCGCTTTGGCAGGTAGACCTCCTAAACAAAAGGTTAAAGGGTATGTACAGTTTTATAGTCTTTTGGGCATAGTTCCAAATTTTTCTCCTAAATGGCTGAACTTAAAAACGTGTGACTCCAAATCTCAGGCCTTTGTCCTGCATCCCATCACCACCTGTTCTATCTCCTCTCCTTCTGCCCCTGACTCAGGAGAATATCAGTTCCTCAAGATCAGAGACTCTTCATTCTCACCTTTGTATCTGCAGTGCTCAGGTCAGTACCACAGCACATAGTAGGTGTTTAAGGATCTCATATGTAGAGTATATAGCAAAAGCCAAATTAATGTTTATGGATGTTCTCTCAGCACTATGTGATTCTTAGCACTCTCCTACACTGTTCCTACTACTTTGCCACATTATAAAAGGGGAAGGGGAAGGGTGGTCAGCACTGAAGACAATTTTGTCGGTCTGAGGGGCCAAAGAATTCCTCACGGGCAGCCAGCCTCCTGGTGAGGAGTCTATCAGAAATCAGCAAGGCTGGTGCTTAGAAAACAGACATAACCTGTAACCAAGACTGTACTCAATGCTTGTCAGGCCCCAGAGAATCTACTGTGGCTTGTGCTCGGCTGTGTAGCCTTTAGGAACCCAGGGCAGACTC